CAACTACCACAACTACCACAACTGCCAACACAACTACCAAAACTACCACAACTACCACCACAACTACCACCACACTACCACCACTACCACCACAACTACCACCACAACTACCACAATTACCACAACTACCACAATTACCACAACTACCACTACAACTTCCACCACTACCACAACTACCACATCAACTACCACAATTACCACAACTACCACCACAACTACTAGTACTGTATTCAAAAATGTGTCATATATAGTTTAATTAGAAATAGGAGAAGTGAAATATTAGAACCTCTCTCTCTCTCTCTCTCTCTCTCTCTCTTTCGCTCTCTCTCTTACTCTCACACTCTCCACTCTCTATCTATCTATCTATCTATCCCGGTGTGATAGATCTGCTCTCTGTTTCAGTTGGTCAATTAAAGAATTGAGTCGTAACATGAGAGTGACTCTCTAGTTACTCTCTCACTCACTCACTCTCTCTCACTCTCTCTCTCTCACTCACTCTCTCTCTCTCACTCTCTCTCTGTCTCTCTCTGTCTCTGTCTCTGTCTCTGTCTCTCCCCTCTCTCTCTCTCTCTCTCTCTCTCTCTCTCTCTCTCTCTCTCTCTCTCTCTCTCTCCTCTCTCTCTCTCCTCTTTCACTCTCTCACTCACTCTCTCTCTCTCTCTCTCTCTCCTCTCTCTCTCTCTCTCTCTCCTCTATCTCTCCTCTCTCTCTCTCTCTCTCTTCTCTCTCTCTCTCTCTCCTCCTCTACAACATGGTGTAGTAGATAGGTTTTCAACCTAACTTGGTTAATGTAACCAGTGTGCGGAGGAAGTTAGTTAACAAGATGATCTAACCCAGTGACTCAACCGGCTGTCGTGTTGTGGTGTTAGAATGTGTTGCGTTGTGGTGTTAGAATGTGTTGTGTTGTGGTGTTAGAATGTGTTGTGGTGTTAGAATGTGTTGCGTTGTGGTGCTAGAATGTGTTGTGTTGTGGTGTTAGAATGTGTTGTGGTGTTAGAATGTGTTGTGTTGTGGTGCTAGAATGTGTTGTGTTGTGGTGTTAGAATGTGTTGTGTTGTGGTGCTAGAATGTGTTGTGTTGTGGTGTTAGAATGTGTTGTGTTGTGGTGTTAGAATGTGTTGTGTTGTGGTGTTAGAATATGTTGTGTTGTGGTGTTCGAATGTGTTGTGTTGTGGTGTTAGAATGTGTTGTGTTGTGGTGTTAGAATGTGTTGTGTTGTGGTGTTAGAATGTGTTGTGTTGTGGTGTTAGAATGCGTTTGTGTTGTGGTGTTTAGAGTGTGTTGTGTTGTGGTGTTAGAATGTGTTGTGTTGTGGTGTTAGAATGTGTTGTGTTGTGGTGTTAGAATGTGTTGTGTTGGGGTGTTAGAATGTGTTGTGTTGTGGTGCTAGAATGTGTTGTGTTGTGGTGCTAGAATGTGTTGTGTTGTGGTGCTAGAATGTGTTGTGTTGTGGTGTTAGAATGTGTTGTGTTGTGGTGTTAGATGTGTTGTGTTGTGGTGTTAGAATGTGTTGTGTTGGGGTGTTAGAATGTGTTGTGTTGTGGTGTTAGAATGTGTTGTTTTGTGGTGTTAGAATGTGTTGTGGTGTTAGAATGTGTTGTGGTGATAGAGTGTGTTGTGTTGTGGTGTTAGAATGTGTTGTGTTGTGGTGTTGAATGTGTTTGTGTTGTGGTGTTAGAATGTGTTGTGGTGTTAGAATGTGTTGTGTAGTGGTGTTAGAATGTGTTGTGTTGGGGTGTTAGAATGTGTTGTGTTGTGGTGTTAGAATGTGTTGTGTATGGTGTTAGAATGTGTTGTGTTGGGGTGTTAGAATGTGTTGTGTTGTGGTGTTAGAATGTGTTGTGTTGTGGTGCTAGAATGTGTTGTGTTGTGGTGTTATAATGTGTTATGTTGTGGTGTTAGAATGTGTTGTGTTGTGGTGTTAGAATGTGTTGTGTAGTGGTGTTAGAATGTGTTGTGTAGTGGTGTTAGAATGTGTTGTGTTGTGGTGTTAGAATGTGTTGTGTTGTGGTGTTAGAATGTGTTGTGTAGTGGTGTTAAAATGTGTTATGTTGTGGTGTTAGAATGTGTTGTGTTGTGGTGTTATAATGTTTATGTTGTGGTGTTAGAATGTGTTGTTGAGTTAGAATGTGTTGAGGTGTTAGAATGTGTTGTGTTGTGGTGCTAGAATGTGTTGTGGTGTTAGAATGTTGTGTGTTGTGGTGCTAGAATGTGTTGTGGTGTTAGAATGTGTTGAGGTGTTAGAATGTGTTGTGGTGTTAGAATGTGTTGAGGTGTTAGAATGTGTTGTTGAGTTAGAATGTGTTGAGGTGTTAGAATGTGTTGTTGTGTTAGAATGTGTTGTTGTGTTAGAATGTGTTGAGGTGTTAGAATGTGTTGTTGTGTTAGAATGTGTTGTGCTGTTAGATTGTTTTGTGTTGTGGTGTTAAAATGTGTTGTGGTGTGTTAGAATGTGTTGTGGTTTGTTAAAATGTGTGGTTGTAAACAAAGCCAGCAACACAGTGATCAACACTGCAATACAAGGACAAGATAGACATACCAGGGGTAGATTTATCTACCGTTCTACCTTGTCTACCACTTATTAACAATACTGACAAGGTTAATATATTAATTTAACATGATAATGTTAAGAACACTGCTCAGAGAAGGAGTGGCTTGAACCAGAGTAGGTGTGGGTCTCTAAGATTAAAGACCAGTGTGTGATGGCTTAAGACTTCCCTTAGTCACAACCTGGAGGTTTTCATAGTGACTGCCATCCTAAGTCCCTCAAGGCTGACATAGGGCTGATGCAACAAGACTCAGCACATACCATAACTCTATGTAATCCGGTATATCAGATCTATGAACTTGGTAAGATCACATATCTCGGCTGGTTCGGCCGGAATGACCATACGTAACGACATTCAAGAATGGTTTGAATTATCTACACCTGATCCTATCCACTGCAGTGTCTTCAATTGGTTGAAGTGTAGTAACTGAATTTTGGTCTGTGTAGCAAAAGACATGTGACACTACATGTCATTGTTATGTCGACATCCTATAGATTGACTGAAGATATGACAGTTGTGTCTGCTGAATCGTGAAGATGTTTTCACTTCTTTTGTTATTTTAGTCACGTTGAGTGTTGTTTGGATGCTGTGGATGGTTTGTCATAGGTTCTAGTTCATTGCACACTTAGATTGTTCAGTACACCAGGGCTAGTAAGGGAGGTTAAGAAGCTAGTAAGGGAGGTTAAGGGGTTAATAAGGGAGGTTAAGGGAGCCATAATATCATAGAATTTTTGGTTAAATTTCCTATAAAATCTTATCATCCTGAGGAACCTTTGCAGTAATTTTTTTTATCTTGGGTTAGTGGTTAATTCTGAATGGCCACAATATTGGAGAATTTGTGTTCCACTGTACCTTTTCTAACTTCATGACATAAAACAATCATTGTGGATGGTCCAGAGGATGTTATACTGAGCTTTACTGTTAATTTACATGTTCTAAACCTCTAAGAAATCTTTAAGTTGGAAAATATGTTGATCGCAAGTATCAGAAACCACAACTTAATTGTCCAGGTAAGTCTTAATGCTGTCTGGCACTTTAATACTGTGAGAAATTAATTTCTGGAATGTGACTGATGAATTCCTTATGCCAAATGGAGTTAAAGTATTCCAACTAAATAATGTAGATCTTAATATTACGGATTGCGAAAAAGATTTAGGAGTTCTGGTTAGCAGTAATCTGAAACCAAGACAACACTGCATAAGTGTTCGCAATAAAGCTAATAGAATCCTTGGCTTCATATCAAGGAGCATAAATAATAGGAGTCCTCAGGTTGTTCTTCAACTCTATACATCCTTGGTTAGGCCTCATTTAGATTATGCTGCACAGTTTTGGTCACCGTATTACAGAATGGATATAAATTCTCTGGAAAATGTACAAAGGAGGATGACAAAGTTGATCCCATGTATCAGAAACCTTCCCTATGAGGATAGACTAAGGGCCCTGAAACTGCACTCTCTAGAAAGACGTAGAATTAGGGGGGATATGATTGAGGTGTATAAATGGAAGACAGGAATAAATAAAGGGGATGTAAATAGTGTGCTAAAAATATCTAGCCTAGACAGGACTCGCAGCAATGGTTTTAAGTTGGAAAAATTCAGATTCAGGAAGGATATAGGAAAGTACTGGTTTGGTAATAGAGTTGTGGATGAGTGGAACAAACTCCCAAGTACAGTTATAGAGGCCAGAACGTTGTGTAGCTTTAAAAATAGGTTGGATAAATACATGAGTAGATGTGGGTGGGTGTGAGTTAGACCTGATAGCTTGTGCTACCAGGTCGGTTGCCGTGTTCCTCCCTTAAGTCAATGTGACCTGACCTGACTAGGTTGGGTGCATTGGCTTAAGCCGGTAGGAGACTTGGACCTGCCTCGCATGGGCCAGTAGGCCTTCTGCAGTGTTCCTTCGTTCTTATGTTCTTATGTTCTTATATGTTCTTATAATGTTCAGGAATCACAAAAGCTGTCTTTGTTGGTTAAGGGGACTTGATAGTACCTTTTGAGATCTAATTCTGAAACAAAATTGGTCTTACCCACAAAATTCACTACATTATTCATACGGAGGTCCTCGGGCAGATGACCAAAAGCTCCAGCAGTGGGTTGAAATATAACCTAAGACCTGCATCAGGAAACACTTGTCCTCTTTCCTGACAAACCTTACCTAGCCTACTGATTACCACAGGGTAATCCACACACATCCATACTCCCCATCAAATTTTTTTTCACAGGGATTCAAGGCGAGGTTCCCAGACTTGAAGACTCTCCCACCAACCCATGTTTTAGCACACAACTAACCTTTTGTTATAGTTATCCCTGCTTCTCTGAGTCAGTTATGTAGGGAGAGAATTTAATAGGCTCAGCTGAGCCTATTAAACTGAGATCAGCCCTTGGGGCTTCCTTAAGCTTATATACAAGCCCAGAATGCAACTTATTCTAATAACAATATTTTCTTTTTCAGATATAAATCCGTAGGCTTCCAAGACACTACAAAAATCACAATAACGAAATGGAGAACAAAATACCGCCTTGAACAGTGGTGTAACTTGGGAAGAACAAATGTGGAAATTATTAGTGTATTATATAAAAACAAATCATATTTGTGTGAATTATAGGAGAAAACAGTTTTAATCTTTGAAATTACAGATAATTATGCAAATAACTGCATTAATAACTGATAACTGAAGCTGTTGTTAACTAGTGACAGAGAATAATAATCATAAAAATTAATGGTACAAGAAAATAATAAAATCCTTTAGTAAAATACAATAAAAAATAATCCAATTTTTAGCAAATTAAGACAACAACAAACCTGAATAACCAATAAAAGAGAACAGGAAGAATAACACAACAAGAACAAAAATAGAGACCATAACATAACTAAATAAAGACAAGAATAACGAGTTATTCCAAAATATGATTTTTTTTTGTTTTTGGAAAAAACTGTAATAGTCTACCATGAAAAATAAATTGTGACCTGTCGTCCAGAAAAAATGCTCAGGGGGACAGAATTTTAATTCCGGTAAAAGTGATCTTAGCGTTATTTTATGTAATCAGGAGAAGACAGTGAGAGGTAACGAAGTAATTATAACGAATTCGTAATTACATTTATAGATACTATTTAGTGAAAGTTGGTAAATTGGGATTTTCTAGGTGAAATAAAGACATTCTGGCGTTAAATATGGGACAACGGGGAGGCAACAGAGGCAACGACAGGAAGATGAGGATAACGGGAGTTCTGTTGCTTGTACTACTGTCAACGGTTGCAACAGAAGCTGCCGTTGCTGAATCTAGAGGTAAGTTAAACGGTCCATTGTTGTCTGTTGTGAGAGTGATCAACGGTACTGTTGTTGTGGCTCAGTGTACACACACACACAGGTGTCGATATTGATGATGACACATGCACAGGTGCTGACACACACATGGACAGGTGCTGACACACACACAGGTGTTGACACATGCACAGGTGTTGACACAAATGCACAGGTGTTGACACACACATGCACAGGTGTTGACACACACACACACACAATTAGGTGAGTACACACAGGTGTGACACACAGGTTTTGATATACACAGGTGTTGACACACAAACACACAGGTGTTGATGCCACACACACACACACACACACACACCCAACACACACCACACACACACACACACACACCACAAAACACACACACACACCACACACACACACCCCTCACACACACACACACACACACACTCACACACACACACACACACAACCACACACACACACACACCAACACAAAACACACACACACACACTCACACAAAACACACACACACACACACACCCACACACACACACACACACACACACACACACACACACTCACACACACACACACACACACAACACACAACACACACACACACAAAACACACACACACACTCACACACACACACACACACACACACACACACACACACACACACACAGTATGGAAGGCGGCAAATGTAGTCCCCATTTTTAAGAAAGGAGACAGAAACGAGGCACTAAACTACAGAGCAGTGTCACTGACGTGTATAGTATGCAAAGTCATGGAGATTATCAGGAGGAGAGTGGTGGAGCACCTGGAATGGAACAAGATTATAAATGACCGCCAGCACGGATTCATGGAAGGCAAATCCTGTGTCACAAACCTTCTGGAGTTTTATGACAAGGTAACGGAAATAAGACACGAGAGAGAGAGGGGTGGGTTGATTGCATTTTCCTGGACTGCAGGAAGGCCTCTGACACAGTTCCTCACATGAGATTAGTGCAGAAGCTAGAGGATCAGGTGCATATAACAGGAAGGGCACTGCAATGGATCAGAGAATATCTGACAGGGAGGCAACGAGTCATGGTACGTGATGAGGTATCACAGTGGGCGCCTGTGACGAGCGGGGTCCCACAGGGGTCGGTCCTAGGACCAGTGCTATTTTTGGTATATATGACACCCAAATCTGCATGACAGTGTCTTCCATTGCAGACTGCAAGGCTCCAGGCAGACATTGCAGACTGCAAGGCTCCAGGCAGACAATGCAGACTGCAAGGCTCCAGGCAGACATTGCAGACTGCAAGGCTCCAGGCAGACATTGCAGACTGCAAGGCTCCAGGCAGACATTGCAGACTGCAAGGCTCCAGGCAGACATTGCAGACTGCAAGGCTCCAGGCAGACATTGCAGACTGCAAGGCTCCAGGCAGACATTGCAGACTGCAAGGCTCCAGGCAGACATTGCAGCATGGGTTTAGAACAGGTCGCTCCTGTCTGTCTCAACTATTGGATCACTACGACAAGGTCCTAAATGCACTAGAAGACAAAAAGAATGCAGATGTAATATATACAGACTTTGCAAAAGCCTTCGACAAGTGTGACCATGGCGTAATAGCGCACAAAATGCGTGCTAAAGGAATAACAGGAAAAGTCGGTCGATGGATCTATAATTTCCTCACTAACAGAACACAGAGAGTAGTCGTCAACAGAGTAAAGTCCGAGGCAGCTACGGTAAAAGCTCTGTTCCACAAGGCACAGTACTCGCTCCCATCTTTTTCCTCATCCCATATCAGACATAGACAAAGGGTGTCAGCCACAGCACCGTGTCCCTTTGCTGATGACACCCGAATCTGCCCTGACAGTGTCTTCCATTGCGACACTGCAAGGCTCCAGGCGGACATCCCAAACAAATCTTTCAGTGGGCTGCAGAAAACAATATGAAGTTCAACGATGAGAAAATTTTAATTACTCAGATATGGTAAACACGAGGAAATTAAATCTTCATCAGAGTACAAAACAAATTCTGGCCACAAAAAAAAAAGCGAAACACCCAACCCTCAAAGACCTGGGAGTGATCATGTCGGAGGATCTCACCTTCAAGGACCATAACATTGTATCAATCGCATCTGCTAGAAAAAATGACAGGATGGATAATGAGAACCTTCAAAACTAGGGAGGCCAAGCCCATGATGAAACTCTTCAGGTCACTTGTTCTATCTAGGCTGGAATATTGCTACACACTAACAGCACCTTTCAAGCAGGTGAAATTGTGACCTAGAAAATGTAGAGAGAACCTTCACCCGGGGCGCATAACGGAGATAAAACACCTCAATTACTGGGGGCGCTTGAGGTTCCTAAAACTGTATTCCCTGGAACGCAGGCGGGAGAGATACATGATTATATACACCTGGAAAATCCTAGAGGGACTAGTACCGAACTTGCACACGAAAATCACTCACTACGAAAGCAAAAGACTTGGCAGGCGATGCAACATCCCCCAATGAAAAGCAGGGGTGTCACTAGCACGTTTAAGAGACCATACAATAAGTGTCAGGGGCCCGAGACTGTTCAACTGCCTCCCAGCATACATAAGGGGGATTACCAACAGACCCCTGGCAGTCTTCAAGCTGGCACTGGACAAGCACCTAAAGTCGGTTCCTGACCAGCCGGGCTGTGGCTCGTATGTTGGTTTGCTTGCAGCCAGCAGTAACAGCCTGGTTGATCAGGCTCTGATCCACCAGGAGGCCTGGTCACAGACCGGGCCGCGGGGGGCGTTGACCCCCGGAACTCTCTCCAGGTAAACTCTAGGTAAACAGGTGTTGACACACTCACACACACACACACAAGTGTTGACACACACACACACACACAGACACAGGTTTTGACACATGCACAAGTGTTGACACATACACACAGGTGTTGACACACATTTAGACACAGGTGTTGCTGGCAGGCATCATAGGTTAAATTTAAGGTGTTTTCTGAATCTCAGCCAAAACCTGATAATTTTAGTCTTCTTGTGTACACCTATGTACACGTTTGTACACCTGTGTACACTTGTGTGCACAGATGTACACTTGTGTACATTTGTGTACACTTGTGTACACCTGTGTACACTTGTGTACACAGGTATACACTTTTGTACACCTGTTTACACTTGTGTACGCAGGTGTACACTTGTGTACACTTTTGTACACCTGTGTACAATTGTGTACACCTCTGTACACTGTTATACACCTGCGTACACCTTTGCACATCTTTGTACACGTGTGTACACCTTTGTACATATGTGTACACCTGTGTACACGTGTGTGCAATTGTGTACACTCCACCAGTTCCCTCCATTACTCCATCTCTCTCTCTCTCTCTCTCTCTCTTTCTCACTCTATCTCTCACTCTTTCTCACTCTCACTCTCTACGTAAGTTGGAGATAGATAGAGAGAGAGAGAGAGAGAGAGAGAGAGAGAGAGAGAGAGAGAGAGAGAGAGAGAGAGAGAGAGAGAGAGAGAGAGAGAGAGAGAGGGAGGGAGGGAGGGAGGGAGGTAGATAGATAGATAGATAGATAGATAGATAGATAGATAGATAGATAGATAGAGAGAGAGAGAGAGAGAGAGAGAGAGAGAGAGAGAGAGAGAGAGAGAGAGAGAAGATAGATAGATAGATAGATAGATAGATAGATAGATAGATAGATAGATAGATAGATAGATTGATAGATAGACAGAGAGAGAGAGAGAGAGATGCAGCATCCCACGACCTCAGCATCACATCCAGATGTATTAATGCTGACTCTTCCATCTCCTTGGATCAGCAGATCATGGGCGGCTAGTCTACTGTGTGGCTCAACACGGCTTTATATGTCTACTGGGTAGATAATTAGGCCTAAGTACGGTGCTTAGGCTTAAATGGGAGTGAGAGATAATACTGGTAGATGATGCTGGTAGATAATACTGGTAGATGATACTGGTAGATAATACTGGTAGATGATTATCGTAGATGATGCTGGTAGATAATACTGGTAGATGATGATGGTAGATAATACTGGTAGATGATGCTGGTAAATAATACTGGTAGATGATGCCGGTAGATGCTGGGAGATAATACTGGTAGATGATGCTGGTAGATACTCGAGATAATACTGGTAGATACTGGTAGATAATACTGGTAGATGATTATCGTAGATGATGCTGGTAGATAATACTGGTAGATGATGATGGTAGATAATACTGGTAGATGATGATGGTAGATAATACTGGTAGATGATGCTGGTAAATAATACTGGTAGATGATGCTGGTTGATGCTGGGATAATACTGGTAGATGATGCTGGTAGATACTCGAGATAATACTGGTAGATGCTGGGAGATAATACTGGTAGATGATGCTGGTAGATGATGTTGGTAGATAATACTGGTAGATGATGCTGGTAGATGATACTGGTAGATAATACTGGTAGATGATGCTGGTAGATAATACTGGTAAATGATGCTGGTAGATGCTGGGAGATAATACTGGCAGATGATGCTGGTAGATGATGCTGGTAGATGATGTTGGTAGATAATACTGGTAGATGATGCTGGTAGATGATGCTGGTAGATGATGCTGGTAGATGATGTTGGTAGATAATACTGGTAGATGATGCTGGTAGATGATGCTGGTAGATAATACTGATAGATGATGCTGGTAGATGATGCTGGTGGATAACACTGGTAGATGAATCTGGTAGATGATGCTGATTGATGCTGGTAGATAATGCTGGTAGATAATACTGGTAGATGATGTTGGTAGATGCTGGTAGATGATGTTGGTACATAAAAGTGGTAGATTAAACTGGTAAATGATGCTGGTAGATAAAACTGATAGATGCTGCTGGTAAATAATACTGGTAGATAATGCTAGTAGATGATGCTGGTAGATGATTTTGGTAGATGGTGGTAGATGATTTTAGTAGATAATGGTAGACGATGCTTGTAGATGCTGGTAGATGATACTGGAAGATAAAACTGATAGATGA